TTATTAATTTATCAAATATTTATTCAGTGTTTACCATATACCAGGTTAAGTTTTCAAACATGAATATAACATGAGTCCTGCCTCTGGGAGATAACAGAATAACAGGGTATGTTTAAGCTAATGAGGTGGCTTAGGTAAAATGAAACAAATGTATATGGGGTAGCAAAGAAGAACAAAAAGGAGAGTAGCAAATTCTAAGGATTTGGGGTCATTTACAGTCATTTATATGAACTGCTTTCCATTTGTGAAATAAAAATAATGATTCACTAATCTAGTATATATTATAACAACTTTATCATAAGTTTTATTAAATCATAGGTAATGGGAAATGCCCCTGTGTTATTGCTCAGTATTCATAGATTGTTGGTCATACAGTCTTGTTGTCCAGAGTTTTAAAAGGTTAGTAGAGACCACTGATAGAGAATACACCATTTCATTTGAACTGTGTAGAGTCAAGCACATTGTTTACAGACTGTTTTGGAAAAGATATATTATTTAACTTGGTTTCTAGGTATGTGCCTTCCTGAATTCTCAAGATTAAGAATTCCAGATGACCATGCAATTTCAGACCTATCCATGTACAGTTACATAGAGGCAAGTGAGAATGTTTGGTTCTATTCAATGAGATCATGCACTGACATTCTAATAAACATTCTTTGCTTTAATGTTTCTTTGATCCCCGTCTCATGCATGTTGCATAAGAATAGGTGCCAAGAGAAAACATACACACACACACACACACACACACACACACAGAGCATTCCTTACACATAGTTGAACTTTGACTATAAAGACAGTGATAATGACCCACACACATCACCTCCATCTACATTTCAGGGACATTTAGGAGGTAACAAAAAAGACAAAATGTCTGGTTTCAATATCTGATAATTCATAGGCTCAAGGCTTAGACATTTAGTAGAGGTACTAATATGCTATTTTAATGAAAAATTATTTTTGATATGAGTTAACATATTTGGAAAATTTAAGAGACATTAAATAACCTTTCCATTCTTAACATTATAAGCTGCAAACTTAAATTAGCACTGAAATCCTTTGGGGTTTTTTGCACTGAAAGAAATATGTAATACCAAAGAAATTCATAGTCAGTAGGTTACTACTCAGAAGAAAAACACAATTCCATTTTAAGCCAGTCACATGAAAAGCTCACAGTAAATGGTTGTGGTTATAGTTTTTAAATAATCAAATGAAAAAATTTACAAGATAAAAATTTTAAAAAGAGTATAGTTGTTTTCCATCTCTCCTGAAGACAGAAATAAAATAGACTTCAACTCAAGCAGAATTGTTTCATATGTGGTGAAGGAAGTTCTATAAGATACTGGAAGTCTCACTGATGTATTTTGCCTTGTCTTTGAAAACAAGACAACTACAATGTAATGTTTATCCTGAATATGGAGTATATCAAGACAGGCCTAGTTTTAAACAGATCTCTTCTTGCCATAAATAATGTTCCAAACTGACCAGGAAGTAACAGAAATTAGTCAAGTCTTTGGGCTCACAGACTACTCACAGATCCATACAAACAGACTCTTACTGAAATAGAGTTGGCCCCCATGCAAAATAGAGTTCTCTAACAGGTTTTCCATAATTGCTCTACCTTTTCAAGTTATTGTTCTCTGACATTGACTGAAAAGGATTGGAAATGACTGAGAAGAATTGAAAATAAGAATTTATTTGACTACCTTCAGTCTGGCTTTGTGGTGAATGGGAATAAAGAGTGATAAAGTTGCAGAAAACAATTAAAGGTACTTTGTTCAAGGTATTCTTTGAGACTCCTTACATTATTGCAGATGCGAGCACACGTCAACTCAAGGTGGTTCCTCTTCCAAAAGAACATAGAGAGATTTCTTCATGCTATTATGCCATCTACCTTTATCCCTCTTTACACCATGGTAAGGTCTGGATTTAAGACTTTTCCTCATTTTAATCTTCTGTTTAGCCGTTAAAGAATACACAAGAATACTTTTTAAACTTTCTTACAGGTCACCTTTTCCAGAATAAGATACCATGAGGCAGTGCTGCGCTGGCATTGGCAAAAAAAGGTTGGAACAGATTACACTTATTTTTAATCTGATGTGTTGAATTTCACAGTGTTATGGTTATGTTTACCTCAGGCAAATATGGAAATAATGTGACAGACACTAGGTGTTTGCCTTTCAAATTAAAAAATGTCCTGGATACACAGGTGGCAGAATGCCTAATGAACAAAATTACAAAAAGAGGCAATCCCTGAGGAGAAGAAATTCAAAAAAGAAATTGATGCTAATATTTCTAAACTTTCTACTTTATTTTATCAATGTGACCTTCTATTTAGCAATTGACTTTTGCTTCATGCAATACTCCTATGGGTTTAATTTACAAAACTGGACAGAAGCAAATCACTTATAAAACACAGTCTAATTCCAGTGTAATGCTATTTCACATTAATTTTGGGCAGTTGACTCACAGATGCCATTAAATGGAGATTCAGATTCCTGATCTTCCACTGTGGAAACTTTACAACTTCACTTACTAAACAAATAGTATGTAAACATTGAGCTGGGCATGGTGATGAACATAAAGCAGCCCCTACTCTTTGCATAGCTCAGAGACTAGTGGGGGAAATGGACACCTGCAGTGAAGAGGCACTGCCCTGGTGGGGAATGGGCATGGGCATAGGGAGGGGGGCGTGGAGGTTGAAGAAACCTCTCACATGTTCAGAATGGGAATGGCAAGTATTTCAGTGGACCTGGAAGAAGCACATATGTGTGAAAATGGCTAGAGGTGGAGCTGGAACAGTAAGTAGGACCTGAAACATCTTGAATATTATTTTGAGGGAAACAGGAAGACAAAGGAAGCTCATAGTCTCAGGTGTGGATTTTAGAAAGATTTAGAGGCTAGATTGGAATGAATCAAGATTTATTCATACAGAGGTGAATAAAATAAGGTCCCTGCCTTCAAGGAACTAAAAGTCCAAAGGGGAAAGAGACAGTGACAGGCAGTTAGAATGCAGGACAGTAAGTGCAGTGAAAGAGACCAGGATGATACGAGAGTGCACGCAACCCAGACTAGACTGAACCTCAGCTCGTGCGGTTGATAGACTGTAGGTGGTGAAGGTGCATGTTTAAGTCTTTGAATGTGTGTCTTCCAAGTCACAGAGGCCAATGAACCCATCACTCTTCTCAGGGACACTTTGTGCAGGGTCTGAGCAATGACTGAATCATTTGTGGCTTCTTTCAAGACAGAGTTAACAGTTATTTTTTTTTTCAACTGTGAATTTTTTTTATGGCTGGACAAAGGTTAACTGTTAAGAATTCTTTATACAGACACATAGATTCAGGAGTTTCTGGGAAGAGAGAGAGGAGGGAGAAAGGGAGGCAGGAAGTTCCAAATTCTTGACCTTGCCAGATATTTCAGGACTTCACCTAGTGGTCATGCAATTACGTCACTGTTTCAGTTTAAAGAACAAAGAGGAAATTGTATAAAACGTCATTTAAAAATGAAGTCTACTTGAAAGATTTTAATCACTGCACAAATAAAGTGAAATTTCTTGCTCTTTTTTTACAGGTGATAAACAAAGGACTCTTTTTCTTTGGAACACTGATAGCTGTCAGTGGTACTTACCTACTTATGCGTTCCAAGTCACTGAGACCCCTGGACTACTTGAGAAGACCATGGGACTGGGTCACTTACTTCCAGAATACAGGGCATGTCTCCCTGTAAACTCCCTGGAGTCACTAGAACAAATTCCCAATGTCATTAGAAAGTGATAAAAAGATCCTGAAGTAGCAAATATTAGATTTCTCTGTAACCAAAACAGGATTAAAATCATGTTTCCATCATCATATTTAATTCACTAATAGAAGATATTTATCAGCTTATAAATTCAATGTAGAATTTCTCTGTGAGCTCACTGAAATTATTGAAAAAATAACCCACCACTTTAAGTAAAACTCAGCTTCCCCACAGCACTATGCTTAGGTCAGATCATTCTAAATATAAAAGTGCAGTGACTAAGATCTCTTTCACGTCTCAAAAAGTAAGGCCCTAGAGACCTCAATGAAGTCACTGATCACTCTTTTCTTTAAAGGACATAATAGAAGTCATGATAGGATTGACTTAACATCTGGGACTAAAAGTTGCAATTTGCCTAATATATTAACTGCATTTTTCATTACCTGGATGGAACTTACCTAAGCACAGGGCTCAGATTTTCTTGCTAAAACTAGAAGTGTAAATGAGGGATTGGGGGGCTTTCGAGAGAGTTCAAAATGAATTGATTTTATTTCCCAGTCTTCAAAAGGCAATATTACCTTCTAAGGATTTTTTTAAAAGGCTATTAAAGCCACACTAAGTGAAGGATAGGAAGAGCTTTATTTATAAACTAAATATCTATATACATAAAAGAGTGGAAAGGAAACAAGGGGAGACAATTTTCATAGAAATATGAAGCCATATTTTATTCCATTTCAGAAGCAATTTACTAACATTCTTGAACTATATGCTACAAAACTAGCAACAAACTTGATGTTTAAATGTTCATTTAGTGAAACTTTTTTCTTGCTTCTTCCTTCTTCAATAGGCCAACTGAATCATTTAGAAGTCTTTCAAATGTGATTAATTATGAAGATGCAACACTAGTAGAACAGTCATGTAAGAAATAAAAATTAGGAAATAAAATGATTCACTTTCTTGCCTATATTGTCAAGGAAATTCTTGAGTCCTAATAATCCATGTTTAGACTAAATAATGACTCATGGAAAAATGGTCTCTTCACTAACACTGACCATTATTTATCCAGTGTATTGACTGAAGATCAATAAAGATTTTTATTTAATATTCACATTTTGTGAATACAGTTTTACACTTATTTTCATCCCTCTTCAAATGTAGGTTTGTTTGTTTTTTGCTGGAACTCCTTTTCTAAATCTCTCAATAGAATTCTTGGCAAAATTGTGGGAAATTACTAGAAGGAGGGGCTAAGCCTGCCATGTTCATATTTGAAATGAAATAAATGGAGATACCTATCTGCCATTAACATCAGCTTCACCATGTACATCATCTGCTAATGTATGATTACCAATAAACCTTGACCACCTTGACATTCTATTTTCTTTCCTGTGTTTCTTTTTAATGGTATCTTCTAGAGCTTGCTCAGTAGCATATTGGTCTGAAGCTCCTCTTTATCATATTATACATAGAGCAATAGTCTTTTGTTTCACATAAAGTTAAGGAATTGATTTTCTTTTTCATCCTAAGAATTGTCTCTTTGATAAATTTGATTGAGCAAACATTTGACATGACACTGAATAGGACCCAACACTACAGAAAATTAAAGATTTTCTAGCTATTTCACACAAGTGTATGAGACAAAGTTATTTTAAGAGCTAAGTATTTTTGAGAAATGTGTTATGTGCCTTGGAAAATACAGTCTTTTAAAAATATATATTTAAAGTGAAAACTTCCAATATGTTAGAAGTTGATGGTGCCTGATGCCCACCTTGTGCAAGTCGTTTTTCATTATACAAAGCACCCGTTGAATTAAAAGAATTTGTCTTGCTCAGTTACTCCTTGAGGCCAGAGAGCAATTCAGATTTCCTGTTGGACCACAAAAGTTCTGTTGATATTACATAGAATGGGGATCCCAAAACAGTTCTTTTAATGGTAGTCTAAATGTGGTATCTGATTTAAAGTCCCATCTTTCATTACCATTATTCTTTCCTATAAAGGACAAACTTGGATTACATCGACCTATGACCCACTGGTTCTCTCACCGTCAACTGATAGTGATTCATCATTAGTGATGACAAAAATGATGGAAGAAGAGTTAAAAGTCAGTTTTTTCTTTGGTCTGTCCCTATCTTTCTGTGGCATCACAATGAGTTGGATTTGCATTTCACTCCCAACTGCTGGTAGATCTTTAGCTGGTCACTGGCATCTCTGCAGTCGGAAACATAGGAGCTGCAAAAGGGCTCTTTGAAACTGGGCAGGGAGAAAATAAAGTTGAATATTAAGTAAAGGTTTGGATTGACATTCAAGAAAATTAGGTAAATTTAATTTGGGTTGTTCTTTTTTATTTGTTAGCTGACGTGGAGTTAGGTGGTAATGCTCAGATCTACTTAAGCCTGGAGTTTAATGTCTTTTATTTATTATAATTCTTATTAACTTTACCACATAGGTCTCTTTCAATACCTTATAATAGCCATAGATTCAAGTTGCATGAATCTTCCAAGCAGGCAGCTAGATGTGTTTCCTTAAGGAATTTTGAACATTAATTCATTCCATAAATATTCAATGAGCCCCTATGAGGTGAGGCAATTTGTGCTACAATCTGGGGATATTATGGGCAGCAGAGACAGACAAGGTCCTTCCTGGTAGAGTTTACAACTTAGTGTACTCACTAATATTCCTTTAATTAGGTTAAGATTTTTTTTTTTTTTGGATCAAGATTACAAATCAGTTGGTGAAAATATACAACAGCAAACCAGGTTCAAATCCAGACACCAACACGTCCTGAAGCAAACAACTTCTTTTACTTCTCTGAACCTGTCTCATAATCCATAAATAAGATACTATTAGTGCCTATTTCATGGAGTTTTGTAAAGATAATTGATACAATCTGCATAGTGCAGTAAGAATTTTAAATAAATTATTAACTTTGATTGTAGTTATTATTACTAAACATAAAATGTTTTCTGATGTATTAAATACTGATTTTAATACAATTTTACCTAACAAGTGCAAACCTCCATTGGTAGGTCTTAGAATTGTTATTATTTTCTCTGGGAATATTCTACATTTCTTCTTAAACCCTCTAGTTTCCTATAAAATGCTTGATTTAGGTTTTTATCCTTGAAGCTGCTATGAATAATCTCTGTAAAAGTATTATATTTTCCAACAACCCCACCAACATGGTGAAAATGATCAGTTAATTACAAAGCTTACCTTTCTGATCATGAAGATATAGATAACTGGATTATACACAGTGCTTGATTTAGCAAAGAGATATCAAACAGTAGATATTATTGTAGGAGTGAACAGGTGTCCATAACCATTAAACACCAAGAAACAAATCACAATATAAGGCATCCAAAAGATCAGAAAGGCAAATATCATGAAAAACCACATTTTGGCCAGTTTCTTTTCATATCTTAAAATCTTGAACATTTGAATTGTCTGAAGATCTTCAACAAAACGGAGCTGCAGAAAGAAGAAGGAAAATAAAGGGGTGAAAATGAAAAAATCATTTTTGTTTGTTGTTTTCATAACAAATATGCAGGCACCATTCTTGGCCCCACCTTAATGGAAAGAGAACTGAATAGGACGTTGGGAGGCTGGCATCTGATCCAGGACCTGCAGCTGGGCCCAGCCCTTAAACTCTCTGGGCCTCAGTCTCCTCACCTTAATATAATATATTGAACTAAATAGCCTCTTAGATCCTTCAACGGTTTTTAATGTTTTCTAATTGGCTTAAAGAAGAAGAAAATGAACTCTTTTGCCCAGATCTTCAAGTCGCTAAAAGACAGCCTGAAAGAGCCATGATAGGGACTTCCCTGGTGGTCCAGTGGTTAAGAATCCACCTTCTAATGCAGGGGATGTGAGTTCCATCCCTGATTGGGGAACTCAGATCCTTCATGCCACCGGGCAACTAAGCCCTCACACTGCAACTGCTGAGTCTGTGTGCTGTAGAGCTCAAGCACCACAACTAGAGAGAGGCTGCATACCACAATGAAATATTCTGCATGCTGCAATGAAGATCCCGTGTGCCACAACTAAGACCCAACAAGGCCAAATAAATAAATATATAAAAAGAGTCATGATAAATTGGAAAAAAATTCTCCATAATCCTAGAATCTCTTTTATCCAGAGCATAATCCTCAAATTCTCAAACCAGGCTGCAAATGTGATGTCAGTAGTTCTACATGTTAAAGCCTACAGCTGGTCTTGATGAAAACTTAATTCCTAAATAAATTCTTCCTGGAAACTACTGTGACTTCCACTTTACAGCTAATGACTATAAAGTGGAGTTTTGATGAGCAATTTGCTTGGGTTTGTTTCATCAGTGGCTCAGCTGCAGAGGATAGAGCTCAGTAAAGCCCAGATAGCCCACTTCTCTAAACTTTTTACTCCTAGTTTTACTCCTAGTTTGTCCCCACTAACAGTATTTAGGCATAATGGCCTATAGTCTGAAAGTTCTTTGACTTTCTCAGATAAAAAAACTCTTTAGAAGTATAACAGGGAATAAGAAATCTGACTTCATATTAGACCTGTTTCTTTTACTTTAACCTTTGTATTCTACTGCTTTTGCTACAAGTTAATCACTAAAGGGATGCTGCCAATAGCTGAAAATATACATAATGGTCCATATCCAGAATCCTGCTCCCATGCCTGAATGTTAAACCAAAATACCTTTGTTCTGCTCACAACATCCTAATGCAGCCCACTTGTCAAATGGCTGCAGGAAAGAAGAAATTAACACATCCTTTCCCAGAGTCTGGCTGAAATCAGGAAATAATTGCAACAACTTATGGCCTTTTAACTTTACCTCCTCACCTCCCCACTCTTTGTTCTATAAAATAAACTAGCATCCAGACCCCAGAAACAAGATGGTTCTCTAAGACATTAGTCTGCCATCTTCTCAGACTCCTGGCTTTCCAGATAAAGCCATTAATTCCTTGCCCCAAAGCCTTGTCTCCCAATTTATTGGCCTGTCATGTGGCTGGCAGAACAATCTTGGACTTGGTAACAGAAGTTCCTCCTATTATTGTGATAAACGTGTTATTAAGAAGGGGAGAATATTCCTGTACATCAAAAGTATATTCATTCCCACGTGCCGTGGATCGGCTGGGCTCATTAGCCATGGCCGCTGAGCCTGCGCGTCTGGAGCCTGTGCTCCGCAACGGGAGAGGCCGCAACAGTGAGAGGCCCGTGTACCGCAAAAAAAAAAAATTATTGAAAAAAAAAAAAAAAAAAGTGTATTTGTAAATAAAATGGATATTTCTGACATCTTAAGAAGCTAATTTTGCTACAAAAATACAAATGCTTTATATATTGATATAAGAAAAGGTATCTGGCATACCACTGATACTTAATATATAATTTTAACCTGGGAAATTTATTGCATTTCGACAAACTGTAAGTGTTCCTTTTATTTCTAGCATTATCATAAAAGTTAAGGAAACATTTTCCGAAGAAATCTGTTAAAACATGTGCTTATAGTATTTAAAAATATATTTGAATTGATATATCTAAATCATTGATGTCATCTAAACTTTATTTAAGAAACTATATTCTTATTAAATTATGTATTCCTATTGACAGAGAATAGAAGAAAACATAGATAATTAAAATGGTTGATTTTTTTTCTAGAGTAGAGGAAATGTGTGTATGGTAGTGAGTATTAAATTTCTGGTACTATTATTATCTGTGTGTGTATTCTATTTTAAAAGAAACTATTTTATTTAAAGTGATAGGATATTATTCTATTTTCAAAACAGGATTTTGGTGGGGGGAGGATTTTTCCCTAGAGATTTTAAGAAGGTTGTGGAGTTCTAGTAAAAACTTTAGATGTGGAATTAAAAGATCTGGGTTCATATTCCAGATTCACCACTTTTGCTCCCTGTGTGATGTTGAGCAATTCAATGACCTTCTCTAAGAGTAATGATTAAAGGAGGTTAAAATGTATAACTTATTAAACAGAAGTTGAGTCCCAGTTCCACACATACGACTTTGTGGGATTGTTTTTGAGATTATGTATTTATATTTGAATTATATTTGAAACAACCATACTTATTCATATGCATATGTACTTTTATGATAATATAGGATATTAGGAATCACGATTTATGACTCCTTGGAGTTTCAATTAACTAGTAATACACCACTTGTCAATGATCTGTGCCCCAAGTCCCCACTATCTAGGGCCCAACAATTTTATCTGTACCACTTTCTGGGCAATGTCAGTCCCCATAATTTCTCACCACTTATCAAAGCAGAGAACTCATTTCTCATTCTGGAATTACATGCATACTGGAGAAACTAATTGAAGAAAATGTTGGTTTATGCTTCCCCAGTTCCTCTGGTATAAGGAAAAGATCTGACTAAAGTTTCAGATTATTTGGGTTTGTATATGTGATGTTTCCATGATTATTTTTCATTTATCTCTTTGGCTTCTTTGTTTCATCATTCTCAATTCCTTTACTCTGCTTATTTTCCAAATAAAGAGCTCTACTTTATGTCTTGCCCCCTTTATCCAATCATTTGAGGATATTTTTCAAAATTGTTATGGATAAAGCAAAAGTATTGATACATACACAAATTTGTCCTAAAGGAGGAACGACTTAAGACAAATCCCCCAGTATTACCTCTAATGGTGTTCTTTGCCTATATAAATGGCAACGCCTAGTGCTTGGTGATTCAGACACCTGTAGGTTTTTCAAAGACTTTACTGTGAGTCCTTCTCAAGGGAGTAGCTATGTCTCTATTGCTATTACAAATAACCTCTCTGGATAAGGAAATAGAAGCAATTCCTTGCACCAAGCTCTGTGTTGAGTTTATAGCACAGTCAGTAGTCAAATCTCTTTGTACTTTCACCACTCCCCTTTCCTAAACCCTTTGTAAATTTTTTCCAAAAATAGTCACTGGTCCCTATTGCATGTAGGTACTGTTCCAGCTATAGGTGAAAAAATAAATAAGAGTGGGTCTCTTCTCTTGAGGAATTCACTATTTGGTGAGGGTGACAGGCACATAAATATACCATTTCCATAGGTGATAACATGCCATGAGGGAGGTGATCGGAGAGGGCTATGGGAATACGCAGTAGGGGTAACAAATTCAGAGGTCGATAAGAGCAAACAGATCCTGATCTCAGCCTTCCGAGGTGAGGAGGAGTTTAGACAAGGAGGAGAGACAGAATGTTCCAGGGTTAAGGCAAAGAGGTAAAAGAACATGTCAATTTCTGGGGACAAGAAATACTGTAGTTGACTGAAGCTTGAGGTGGCAAGAGGGAGGGAATGTAAAAAAATCAGACTGGACAGGCAGATGAGAGATGGCCACACAGGACCTCATAGTCAGCTCAGGGGCCTTTCTTTTAATCATGAAGGCAATGGAACCCTTAAAGGATTTTAGGCTGGGTAGTGACATAAGAAAATTTTCATTTGAGGACAATTAATCTGGTGGCAGTATGAAGAGAATGGATTAGAGGAAGGCAAGAATAAAGAAAGGAAAACTAAGATCCTTTTGAATTGAGTCTGGCAGGCAAAAAAATTGAGAGGACAAAATAGATATATGGAAATATATTTGAGGTTCGATAGATAAAAATTGATAATTGTTTGGGTGTGAGGGAGACATGGATGAAGAATAGTCAAAGATTACCCCTTAGTTTCTGGCTTAGGTAGATAGGAGTGATGACCATTCACTAAGAAAGGGAATGGAGGAGTAGAGACTTGGGGGGAAAGATGACCAATTCATCTTCACACATGTTGAATTTGACAAGTCTGTGGACTATCCACATGGAGGTATTCAATAGGCAATTGACTATGAGGATCTGATAGAGGTCATAAGAACAACCTGGATCAGAAGTAGAATTTCAAAGTCACCATGCTATTGTTAGAAGGAAAATACTGCCAATATATGAGATTGCCCATGTTTATTGCGTAGTATTGAGACAGGCTGGGACCTGGGACCCGGGACCCTTTGCTGCAGTGCTTGCACCTGGACACACGTCTCCTCAAGCAACAAAATACAAAGAAACTATAAGGGACTAAAATTAACTGCATGCATGTGCAGTTGGGGCAAATTATGGACAATGAGATACAAAAAGACCAAAAACCCAACTGCTACTTCTGAAGAGCCGGGAGCAAAAGCAGGGTGTCAAGAGCAAAAGCATGCCCCCTGCACACAACACCACCAAAGGGGTGGGCAAACCACCTAAGCCACCCCTTTAGCCCATCTCTGGGCCCACTCCTACCCTCACCCCATATAAAGAACCAGCTGGCCCCGCCTCAGGAAGCGAACAAGGGAACTTGTTACTTGTTTTTCTCCTCCCTGCTGTAGCAGGGACCCCAATAAAGCCTTGCCTGAATTTCTTATCTGTCCTCTCATCAATTTCTATTGATTAAGGAAGGCCAAGAACCCTGGTCAGTGACAGAATGAGATGAGAGCTAAGCATAGAATGCTGGGGAGGCCCAAGGAAAAGAAGC